TCGAACCCAGGACCTTCTGGTTACAAGGCGAGCTCGTAGACCATTGAGCCACTGGGACCCGATCCAATGGTCCTTGAATTCTAACTTCTGCCAATTCACGACATAGGGCGACCATTTCGCAATGTCTTCTTAGATGAGTTACTGTCATATCTTCGACCTGCTCTACCCTCAAACGTTTAAGCATTTTCAAAACTCATACTCTTATATAAATCCAGTTAAACTCAATTTTGCCTAGAACTTAAAAATAACTATTTCAGGGGCTCTCGCGCAGTGGCGTGATCCCTTTGTTTTCCATATGTTTGGATTGCTGGATTCTTATTGTCTGTGAATGCTTTTAGTGCATCATTGAATTCCTGCATATTGAGTGTAATTCAAACTTCATGTTTGCATAGTTTCTGTTCAGTATTTTGACTAATGTTCCAGACAGTAAAAGCTCAGTTATTTATGTCCAATCCTTTATTTCGTCTAAGCGTGCCAGTGCACTGAGTAAGCATTCGCTTGTTGTCTGCCATGTACTAGTTCCTGTTACAACAAATACATAAACTCAAACAAAGTCTAGTTACAAATAAAAATAATTTGACATTAAATATAAATCCCTTTGATGCAAGGAGTTGAATTATACGTTACCTGTTATCCCCTAATAATGAAGAGTGGCGTGCAGCTTTGTCATTTTTGCACCGAGTGATGAGTCAGTAATTAAGTTCAAGTATTAGCCATCAAGTATACCAATAAAGTGACATTTCTTAAACATGGACTAATCGTTTTTGTACCTTATTGTTGCAACAAATAAATTTGGAATTCCACGCCCATACTATGCACTCGCAACATGAGATGACCAGCATTCCCGACTATACTGGATAACTGCAGTTATTATATTTGTTTGTGTTGTTAACTTTCTCTACATTATAAGTATTGTCCCTTGATTCGTTTGCATGTTTAAAGCTTAGTTGATTAATTTATTATTAAGTCAATTCCTGCTTGCCTAGTAACTTTGATACTGCTGTTGATATTCCTCGTTATCGTTTCTTCTGCTTGGTGTGAACTGCTTAACGTAAGATCGAATAACCATTACACGACTTTTTTCTTATTTTTTACTACATGTTATGAAAAGCAAATAAAGTCAGTGACGTAGTGCATCACTTCAAGAATGAAGATTTCGTATCAGATGAGTAGTTACCTGGTGTTCTATTGAGAAGTCGTGACCAGTAGGGTGCAGAAGGTCTGGTTTGAGGACAAATACTCGCCGAAGACATTGGCTAGGGGTCGCGCTATGTCGTGAATTGACAAAAGTTAGAATTCATGGGTCATTGGATCGGGTCCCAGTATCTTAATGGTATGCGAGCTCGCCTTGTAACCAGAAGGTTCTAGGTTCGAAGCCCGATGGGTGCGTACAACTGAAAGGTCCTAAACTAGGACGAAACAGCTGTCCAGTATTCCCAGGTTTTCCAGTGGTTCTCTAACTGATGTCAGCTCATAATGAAATCCTGATATCAATCAAATCCCTACAAAACAACACTTGAATAAAGATTTCAATAAGTGATAAACCTATCCCAGTCATTTAACATCTATCGCCTTTCTTCACTATTCTACAGGTTTTCAGAAATCAGTCATATTTCAAAATACGCCATGACGGGAAATACTGAAATGCAGCAAAATGTATTATATTCTGCAGTTCTTGACATCCTTGAGTTGCTTCTTAAATGAGTTAGTTCTGAAGAAATATTTAAATCAACAACTAGAAATCAAAGCTGTCAAAAGACAGTTAAGTTGTGACTTACTTCCATGATTCTCTGCATTAATGCAATTTTCAATCAGCCTCTTGTGTAATGTTTAGTCATAATTTAGAAATAGATTACTGCCATTCGTTCTGGCCCTATTTATGGTCAATAAGAATCTCCATGTTATTCAGTCATTTCAGGTTGACTTAATGGGGAGGACAGTGCTGATGGCATGTCTGATCATCTCAGCTCTACGTCTATCCAGTTTCCGCAGAATTCTAAATTTTATACTCTTCGAACTTTTGCACACTTGGATAACCACTTGAATCATTCTTCGCACTGTTCAAATTACAATGGATGAAATTCAGATTACGATCAAATCGCCGAAATTTGTCAAAACACATTTGTTTGTATGCACATGATATCGTCTGCTCCCTTACATCAGACAAATATCATGTGCATTAATTGAGTAAACATTTTTGATTGTATACACGAAACATTAGATTTCTCACATAACTGGTTCCGACTATATTACCTCTATGAGTATTACAAAATTGTCCTGTCATTAACCATCATGTAATTATTAGTTTTTGTGGTTGATTTTTATTATTTTTATTCCTTTCGGCAATATTAACTGACAATCATTGGTTGTGAACGCCATTATCACCACCTTTAAATTTTGCATTATGCAGGATTATTCACACTACCACTACAAACACCGCATTAGACCTGACAATAAAAACAAAACAACAACCCTGAAATGTTATTTTATGATTGTTTAGTGTTGTTTCAACTAAATTAACTGATTATCTTGGCGATAAACATTCTTAAATATCATTTCATAACTTCTTGTATGACTATAGCTTTACTGTCACCATGCATAATCACATCATAGCTTCCACTACCCAATACTGAGTTATTATTATATGATGGATATTTTCCTTCCTGCTTCTTGGTATATTTTAGCATTTTTAAGTTATTTTATGTTTTTCCTGTTTTTTATTGCTGTTTGTTTTCTTTATATTTATTTTTTTGCAATACTCCTTTTAAATGTTTGATAAAATTAGATGCAAATATTGTAGATATGTGCTGAAAATTCTACACTGCACCACTAGTAGTGTTTCTGGAATATAGCTAATTATTAACATTATTATTAATAAATTATAAATTCAGTACTGTGTGATTGCTTTATTCTGAAACGTCTGTAAGTCCATGGTGACAACAAATAATATTTCTGTAGAACCTTATATTCCTGAATTTTATGAGTTCATATTTGCAACTCTAATATACAAACCCATCACAAATTTATGTTTCGAAAGAATATTGATTACTGTGAGCTTAATGTAATTCATTTTACCTGTATATCCTAAATATTCTGCATGTATCATATGCATTAATACTGATGTCCCACCAGAATAGCTTAGCAAACAACAATACTCGTGTCCGACCGTCTAATTATATATGAATGTTTACTAATGTTTTTGCGAAGACATCCAATAAGTTTAGTGATCATACTTGGCCTTGTGATAGCGATGGATCTCAAAAACCTAAAAAGCATAAACTGGTTCACTATGCTTCATCGATTAAAACTCTAATTTACAGAATTGGTCAAGGGAAAATTGTAGCAGTTGAAGTCATACAAGGAATAAACGTATAGTCGAAATAAGCAAAACGACATCAAATCCTCACCATTCGATAAGAAAAGTAAGCTCAATATTTTGAACAGTAAAACCATTATTAGTTAAAAATACCTCTTGAAATGCACACCAGACTGAATTTCGTTGATGTTTTCGTTTTTAAGATGAAAATAGAACAATTTTGTTTATTTCTTTGTGAAGATCAAGGTCCAAGTATTTCGAATAATAAACTGCAAAACAAAATAATAACGAAACAATACTATATAAATGTTCACTGACTTGTTGATTTACGAGAATAGAAGATAGAAGGCACGATAAGTAAGTTGTGTGTAACAGTTTTTTTATAAGTTTCAGATTTAAGTACTGAGATATGCGTCTTCATTAACCTGATTTATGTTGCCTGTATTATACATATAGTTGTTTGCATCATGCACATTACCTGCTTTTGTGCGTAGGAACAACATTGGTGAATGTTCTAGATTCAGGGTATATGTTATCATGTTAAAGAGCGGATTTCTTTCATTGAACATCCTGTACACAACAACAGCTTCTAATGGAAAACAAACGACTGATCAGTGAAGCGTCTGAGGAAACAGGATACTTAGTGACCGAAAATATTGAAAAATAAATTCGTCACAAATAAGACAACTTAGTGGTACCTTGATGTTTTCTTCACCAACATCCAAGGCGATGTGAAAGAAGAGTCACTTCAGCCGTACACAATTATCAGTGCTAATGAACCTCTGAATCCTTCTTTGAATGAAGTAATATGGTTGATATCTACCCACTATCTGAAGTCTTTGCTCAGTCGACTGCGTCTCCGCTTGATTGAAGATCATTGAGGTGAAGCCCGTTTGATTTTTACTGTGTTCGCCAGATGAAACCCATGTTGTTTTGTATATATCCTTATGATTTTATACTCAGTCACTGAAAGCACATAAGTCAGTGAAGATTTCTCCATTGTCATTATTTTCTCGACATTCCTCGAGAGTTTCTCGACACATAACGAGTTATATTCAAGCGTTATCCACTCCAAGTTCAGATGACATATCACTTCTTAGGAATTAAGTGTTGCTATTTCGCATGTTTTCCATCACTGCTTGCAGTTGTCTGTGAAAGACATCCTTCTTCTCTTATTCTGAATTGTTTGTGAGTGCGTAAGATTTGGTGATTCTTACGTACCTTTACCTTGGATTGAATATTGCTGTCATAATTCTGGTATCCACTGTAATAGATCTTTGGCTGCCTTTGATGACATCACATGGCCAATCCGTGTATCTCCTCTTGGTTGTCGTTTGAGTGATCGGAGTGTAATGTCCAGCTGATAATATAGGTATTCACACAAATCCAGCAAATAACACTGATAACAAATAAAGGTGAGGGATATTGGACAACAGAGACTCATAGATGAGGATCGGATTTCCACCTGCATATCAAATATCATTTTAACAATAACTGTTTTTGGAATTTGTATCTTCCGAAATACTGTGTTTTCTTCACCATTTTACAGATAACATAATGTCAGGAGAAACTCTGCGATTTAACCGATTGCAAAATTCAAGTTTCGGTATGAGACCAGGTGGCCTTTCACACTTCTTCGTCTGGGTAAGAAACTGACGCATTATTCTCAAACTGCACAACAAAGATGGTAATTGACACAATAGTGATGCTATTAGTGACTCTGACCATGGTTGTAATGGTGAACAAAATGTAAGACTGAATTTCACTACCATTTCAATAAAATAATTCCCTTTCTGCTATAGCAAAGGACTTTGTGTATGGATTACAGAACACAGTTGGTTGACTATTCTTCTCATGTGAGTCGATTTTGTGATGTTTCTAGACAATGTACTTATACATACAGTTCGCTTTATATCCCAGGTTTTCACACGTTATCGATCAACTGATAGTAGAAGTTATTGAAGATAAGATTCCCAAAATGATTTGCCTTTCCATTCTAACTTTATTCTGTTGCCTGCCTAATTAATGCTTGAATAATTATTGATAGGAGGCTCGGAAATATTTCGGAAGTAGTTAATCGGGAAAATTTGCCTGAAAATGGCAATCACCGGGTTATCATGTTCAATGCTGTGTATTGCAACAGTATCACACTAGTTATTCACTGAGGAAAATATATTTCCTTATATGCTGCGTTCTGCACGGATGTCAGGTTGACGTCGAAATTATATATTTTCTGTTCCTGACAAAATTGTATGCTTGGATTTTGAAAAAAACTGTAGTCACAGCGTAAATTAAGCCGGTTTGAATTATTGCTTTTCAGACTGCTTGGAGCACTTCCAGTTCTCATTCTGGGATTACTCAAACTTCTTGGATATCGCCGTGAAATTGATCATTTTTTCATAACATTCAGTGTAAGTGTTTTTTCTCTATTAACTGAACCGCTCAACGCACTACAAACAAAAGTCGTATACCTGCAACTAATGCGATGTTTATACGCATCTAATGAACATGAAAATACACCAATTTTTGGTCCAAAGATAATGTGTTTGTGTGAATGATTGACCACACACGGTTGAAGCCTCGCAATATTCGAGACGGTTTGAGATAATAATTGATACAGTCGTCACAACGACTAAAACAAATACAACTGTCACACGTACAAAGAAATCAAGTAAATCAGTGTGCATTTGTCGATATATCTGTTTTTCTGAAGTAAAGCAATATGCAGTCTAATTAATTCTGTACGACATATATAACACGCAACTATATGAATCTAACAACATCTTATAATGGCAGTGAAACTCAAACACATTAAGTCTTTATTTTTTGCGCACTTCGACAACATTATTTTCATCGTTAGTCGTATTCTCATCGTACACCTGTCCATTCAATTTTTATGTCAAACTATCCTTTCTGTTAAGATTTAGCTATGAAAAGTTAGACATGCTTAAGATTTGTTTGAATAGATTCATAAGTAAGCGGAACTAAATCTCGTACTTATTAATTTTGTGTATATGCAATAGCTACACCTTGTGCTTAAGGAGAATAAATCAACAAATGATAGTCCAATTATCGTACTGCATAGTATCTTATGAAACGGTTGTGGATGTTTCAACGTCGACAAACAGGAAGATAGACCGTGTTAAGTTGTATTGAAGACATTTTCACTGCTGAAAAATATTTTTAACGCCAAGGTATGCATTCTAATTCTTTATGTATATATCTAGATACATTTATACATCCAGGAGTATACAAGTTCTATCAAATAACTTCAGTGATTCAAATGGTGATATCTGTGCTGATTTATTTGTGTGTTCATAGTTTAGTAGTTTAATGGCGACAACCAGAAGTCAAGGATGCAAATAAAAACTCTTAACTTATACTTCAACAAAATACTACAATGCCATAATAAGACCACAACAATCAAAAAATCCGTCTCTATTGAAATGTAATTCATTACAATAATCTAATAATGTGGAAAAAGAACAAGAAGTTCAGCAAAGATATCTTTTCGGCGATTTCATTCTCAGAAGCTGTACAATCGCATTTACTGCTACTAATGCAATTCTTCCTTTTATTTTAGTTCATACTATGTTCGATGGGTTTCACTACCAGGTTCCGTACTATTGATTTGGTGCCTGCTTTGGCGGCAGTTGGTTCGGCAGTTGCATTGACTGCAGTTGTGATCCTCCTGGCTCTATACCTGAGAAATGTCAACTTTCAATCAACCATTGTACTTTTCTCACTTTTATGTGGCTCGGCTGTCATTGGACTTACTCTTTTCATTATTGAATTCAATTTAGAAAAACCAAAAGAGGTAACTCCCAACATATGTGATAATAAATTAGAATAGAATTTTCAAATGTTTGACTTGGTTTGTGATACTTTCAATGAACATGAGTTGAGGACAAACAGGTTACAGTAAAATAAGTGAATTGCATCACAGCTGCTGAAACTCTTGATATGTGTATGAGAGGCTGTCATACCGAAAATAAATAAACGTAAAGCGATTTGCACTGAAAGTCAAGTAATTCGAATATTATTGATGCTGAACTAGGAAGTATTATCGTCAGAATGGTGAACGTAATCTGTTAACTGATGACACTACTATTCTGTCCTTTATCATTCCTGTTGAAATGTGCATATTATGAAAATACCTTCACACTTCGTGACTGTAGTCACAGGAATTACCAAGATATTTCGAAGCCCAGTGTTGTGACAGTTTGTGGTATTCCATCAAACACCTTAAAAGGAACTACACAGTTGGCTTACTCATAATTTTAAAACACATCAACTTTGCGTCTCTAATCATTACTTAAGCTGATTCACTATGCAAAATACGATATGACATGCAATTGTGAATGCACACTTAGTGAGATTACTAGACATGTTTTTACCTATTCAAGTTTGTTCATCAGTAATTTCAGTTCCGAAGATCTCAAAATTTGATAATTCAGTTTAAATATTTTAACTAATTACCGCATATTGCTTTCCAGAAAGCACTACGGATTTCCATTGGGGCCTGCTTCACTGTTGCTATGGCGTTGGTAAGTTTATTCTTAATGTATTCATAAAAAAATTTAAAAAATGCTTAATCAATCTTCTCTTACACAAACACAATTAATAATTTGATTCCGGTGGAATTCTTTTCACTTATATGTTCTAAATTTTTTGTATATGCAGTTGAGTTCAAAATGTGTTTATAACTTGATTATTTTGTTATGAAATCTCTGTATATGAATACTTTCAAATAGCTCTTTGCTCACAATTCACATAATTGCCCATTCACTCCGTCTATAAGTTAGAAAAGTAAGTTGAAAAAGCGAATACACTGATCAAATGAAGAGCATATTCCTCAGCCTACTGACCGAAAATTGTATAAGTAGTTACTCGGTATATTCTTAGCACATATATTTAGTTTGCGTAGTTGATTATTAGTTGAAATCGACTGCAATATTGCGGCGTATGACATCCAGTCTTGTGCGAATCAGCTTAGATAATAATAATGAAAACACTTTTCTGAAAAATGTGCATTTAGTTGAGCCTTTTTCATGCGAATATGAATCTGGCAGTTATCAAGTACTTAAAAGTTTTAAGAACGAGGTAGTTAGTAATACTGCTTTGACTAAAATTGATAAATTGTATGATGTCGCTTACTATTCTCACATTGTAGGCTATTTTCTTGACGGTGAATAGAATACGTTTATGCATCTCATTCAAAGATGTATATTGTACAATAATATTTCGAGCATTCTGTTTATGGCTGGAAATGCTTTTATTGTTTGCGGCAATGTATGCTCCCTTTGACAATTCTCAGGAATCTTGTTCAAATGCATGAGTGCACTAATATTTACACTCTGGTTATCAGATGTCATTTCTGATAAATAAATATTTATAAATTTGAATCTCTTCAAGTTTTTGTTCGATCAGATTTCATGGAAAATATTAGTCTAGTGGGTTTAAAACATCGTGTAGGTTGAAACCTTAGTGAATTTGTAAATATGGAGCACCTGAAGTTCAATGATGTGAATAGGAAAAGAGACTTGTATGAATTAACTTTCACTGATGCATATACTTATATATATATATACTTTTATGAGAATAATCATATACGTATTCTTACTAGTTATTCATAAGCCTTGTTCTACCAGCTAGATAGATATTAGATATGATAGAGAAGATTTGTAGCTCAGGTGGATGATTTTGATGTGGTTGTGTTCTCTGAGCTGGATAGTTAATTTGCGAAGCTTTCATCACCCTTCTGGGTGACATCTTCAGCGCATACTTCAATTTGAAGTGAGCTTTTAGATTTCTCCACGAGTTTATTAATCATCTCTGCTGGCGACCTTGGACGTGATTGGTTGTTTTTGTCTGTTTTCACACCTCCTAGGTTACTTGTATTGTCACTCATTGTTTCTTTGACTTGAACTTTGACCCTTTGTGTGTGAGGTTTCTTTCTTATCGGTTGATAAATTTTGACTATCTCGATGTGTCTATTGATTGATGATTGACTGGAATGCCAAGCTTCTAAAAATTCTCTAGCATTTTTGTTGTCTCCTCTGTCTAATATTTGAACATTGTCCCAATCGAATTGATGCCCGTGGTTGTCTGTATGTAGTGATATGAGGGAGTGGATATCATGTCTTTTGACAGCTAGCTTATGTTTGTGGATACGAAGACGAAGGGGACGTCCACTTTGGCCAATGTAGTGTTTTTCGCACTTGATGCAGTCTATTTTGTAAATGATGTTGGTTTTATCTTCCTACGCTGTTGAGTCTTTTGGTTGACATAGAATTGAGTGGAGTGAGTTTGTTGGTTTGTGTATGACCTCAATTCCTAAAGGTTTGAAGAGTCTTGTAGTGATTTCTGAGATATCCTTTATACATGGTAAGGCGATTTTCTTTGTGCTTTCCTTGGGGGCTTTTGGTTTGATAGGTTGGCTTGAGGGTATATGTCTTTTGATGAAATTCCGTGGATATCCACTCTTTTGGAAGACGTCTATGAGATAGTTTTCTTCAATTTTCCTCGAGGTGGGAGTGCTGCAATGAGTCCTGACTCTCTTGAATAGTGTTTGTATGCAATTCCTCTTGTGTGCTATTGCATTGTTGCTATTGTAATTCAGGATTCGGTCTGTGTGAGTTGGTTTTCTATAGACTTGAGTTTCTAATTTCCTCATGGTTGTTCTCTTGACTAAGACGTCCGAGAATGGAATTTGATTCTCTCATTCCTCTTCTATTGTGAGTTTGATGTCGTTGAAGACGTTGTTTAACAGTTTGTGAGCTTTATCTAACTCGTTTCTCTTGATAGTTACAAATGTGTCGTCTACGTAGCGTATCCAAATCCCATCAGTTACACACAACCATACAATAGGATGGGATAGGATGACAGTTTTAAAATCACAGGGTATAGGGAGAGATTGAAAACAGAAGCTTTGTTTATCGAATCAGCTGCAAATACATGTAATAGGAATGATTCATCACTTGTCCTCGATATCTAGAAAATTCTACTACCCATACGACAAATAGGAGAAAACAAAGAAAACTATAAAACTCAAGTTTCAGAGTCGTGTGATTACAATTGATATGATTATGAACAATAAATTTTGTTCGAAACGTCATCCAGTAAAGAATACTGTTTCACTGTGTGATATATCCAATAAACAAACTAATATGGATCTACAGTACAGTCCAGCCTGTAACGTTAATTAGGCAAAAGTACAGTTGTGCCGCAAACGGAATTAAATTGAAGCTTTATAAAATAGGACAATCTCATCGGCATTACACATGAAAATAGCATAGACAGAATTAGTCGGAGTGGTAAGATTTGACAGATGTGCTACAACAGAGCTGACTCACTACGAAATTGAGGCGATGAAGTCATTCCTTCAGCAGGACATAGAAGTAGAACAGATAAACTCAAAAATCAGGTACTCGGTTTCGTAATGAAACATTTCAATGTTATGATTTTACCACCGATGCCTTGTGAAGCTGAATTTATTCCAAACGAAGTATATGGTAGCCTGGTAACCGTAAATGTTCATTTAGAAAATAACCATATATTGATGATAGTTAATATTATTGACTGAATGGCCACCACTAACACGAACCAGTGGTGCTTGTTGGCCAGTTAGATAAAAGTGATTGAAACAATGAAAAAATACACTTAACTCGTTTCAGGCCCTGTTCATCGGTGGCGTACTTGGCTCATCAAAGCTGAAAGAACCAATTCACACTGAATCACTTGAACTCAGAATCAGCCTAATTCTTTTAGGTGTCATTCAGCTACTCATATCTGTCAATCAGTAGTTTAAAATGTCAAGCGTAAATTGAAACATATTGAGAAACATAATATACTTCACTTTTAAAAGTTTGTATTTTTGACTGTTTTGTTATTATCACTTGTGAATGAGAGTTGCTGAAAAGATCGACTTCATTCTTCGGAGCACTCGTCTCTTCAGAAACTCTCTGAAGGAATCATCACGTGAATATGAACCTTCTCTCACTTCACTTATAAATAAAATTTTTCCCATAAGCATACATTCCTCATTTCAGAAAATTTCCACTTTCAGTCATAGGGATAGAATCAGGCTTGACAGTAGCATTCAGAGAAAATATCCGCACCTTCGACTTACAACGTGTATGAAATAAATATGAGATTATAAATAATAATTTGCCAATCACAGTGGAGCAGAGATTATTCACAACAACCAATATTGTGTCAGAATATGAACAGAAGTTGCTGGTGACTATATAATCAAGCGATAAAGATTAGGACATACTTTAGAGTGATAAACAAATAACCATCCGAGAGTGGTATAGTGAAAGGAAAATTTTCAGTTAAGAAGTATAAGTGATGACCAAGTGATGATAAGTGCGGATCAACACGACTAACTAGTACTGCTGCTATGTCCCTATGCATATTCACCAGTGATGTTATTATTAAGCATGTCCAGGGTGGCGAACTTTAGGCTGAGAAACAGTGTGACTTCAAGGTGGGTCATTCTGGCTTGATTACATTTTCTCACTGGAGGGAACTTTCTGGTCGTCCCAAGCCAATGTTCTACGGAATTCTACATCTGTCAATATGCCTTCGTATGAGGGTAATTTGTGAAAGGGGTAATCATATTCGGAATCAGTAGAATTGTAGGAAACTAGACTGAGTAATTCCATGGAACATGATAAAAAAACGCTTACAATGGGAAGATTGCTTTCAGCAAAGAAATGTGAACCACTTTTATTTTTGACTGAAAGGAGTAGTTTCTTTACATAAGAAGGTGCCACACACGTCTGTTTTGGCCTACGAAAGTATTTCACTACACATCTTATTCAAATAAGTCGCCAAAAATCATGTCAAAAACATGAGCTTCGTTATCTGCGTATGCAAAGAGATTGCTTGAAACCCAAAAGGCCCTCAACAAATACTAACAGAAATATTTGTTAAGTGCAATCGAATTTCTGCTGTTCAGCTTCAAAATTACTTTGTCCAGTCGACAGTTTGCATCACAATCATCAAGTCAACACAAAGAGTTCAACTTAGAATGCACACTTTGTCGTCCTTTAGATATGTTTTGCTTATACAATCATATAATGTATAGACTATTAGTAAACTCTGGACACTATTCAGTGAGAACATTTATCTAGTGAAGCTGTTCATCAGCAGATCCCCTTTAATCATAGATTAGTATGTATAGAATGATGAAGTAAAAAAGATCGATTGTGCAATATTGTTATTTATTAGTAGGCTTTGAGAAAATTGTTTGATATTACAGAGTCCAACAACACATGTTATAAGTGAAAGTAAAAAAAGTGTCTATTATTTTTTGTCGTGTAATAAAAAAGTAAAATTGGTCTTCTTTGAAATGATGCAATCAGTCACCGCAACGCGAAGATAGGCCGAAGTAACTGCTAGGTGGATTCACAAAAAAAAGAAGAATTGGATTATGATTAGGGCGAAAAATCATGATATTAATCGAAACAATAGAACACATTTACAAGCAAAATCACATATGTTCGTTAAATGAATATTTTTTTAAGAAAATACAATTGAAAAATGAAGCGAGAGTAACCTTGAGTGATATAATTTCAACTTTCCAAAAAATACAAATATTACAATAATTGTGGAAATTGAAGAAAAATTCCTAGCAAGTGAAATATAAAATAAATCGAAAATTAAGCATAATAAACCAAAAAAAGTTGTATATAACTTAGACTCACGAGAGAAAAACATTAATTTGAATTTAATAAATAGATTTTGACATGTTAACTAAGAAAATAGGAAAGAAAACAGACAGGACGTTTAGTCTGCGACAGAGAAGCACACGACAATTCATCAGTAATTACAATCGGGTGTGAGAGTGTGCTGACCAAGCAATTCAATACTGGCTTCTGCTCACACCGCGTGGTTGACACTTTCGAATTCTGGTCTCCACAATTTTGGCTTCCCCAAGTAGCCTGAATTACGGTCTACTGAGAGTTCAGTTGTTCCGATAGAAGTACAACGAGGAATTACTCTCATAAATATATCAGAGATGCAACGTTTGAATTTACTCAAGATGCGAAAAAGATCTTTTTGCAATTTATCAGAAAACTTTTGAAAATGGTATTCACTCGAATTCACAATGTAAAATGAACAATTCTGCTGCATCTGTCCTAATTATTTAACTTATATATTCCAATTATTCATTGGGCGTATATCTG